ATAGTTGTAAGAATCACAGTTGCTATTAGAACGTTAATATGAGAAACTGATTGTATAAAATGGTGGCATGTCTACCTCTCTTCATTCATTATTATTTATAGGTAGGACAATGAACTCTAGAGTAAATGTATCAGATAAATGCCATGTACAGGCATTTACAAAAATAACACTGGCCCACAACTAAAATGGGTGTAGAACAAATGAACTAATGCACAATTACTGGACCTAAGTATATAAGCTGCTATTAGGCTTAACACATAAGGCCTTATTTGTCTCAACAAGCCCCCGTAAACGAGGGATGGGCAATCTTTGAATCCTAAAGCTTAACACATAAGGCCTTACTGGACCTAAGTATATACATAGTTGCTTCGAAAGTCCAGTGGCTTCGTGTGTGAGAGAGCTTTAGTGAAGATGTTGACTAGTTTTTTGGAAGAAGGGACATATCTGACAGACAGCTAGCTTGCAAGTACACGATCATTAACAAAGTGAACATCAAGTTTAATGTGCTTTGTCTTGGCATGGAAGATTGGGTTTGAGGCTAGGGCAAAAGCAAAGGGATTATCGCATAAAGCAATCGGTGGTTCTCTAAGATGGAGGCCAAGTTTGACTGTGAAGGACTGAATCCAGGCAAACTCAAATGCTAGATCAGTAAGAGCACGATACTCGAATTTGGCGCTAGAGTGAGCAATGACTTTTTGTTTCTTAGTTGACCATGAAATCAAGGAGTCAACAAGAAAGATGTAGTATCTACCAACAGATCTTTGATCATCTAGACAGACAGCCCAGTCGGCATTAGTGAAGCCCTATAAGGTAATATGATTACTTGATTTAATATGTAAACCCAGATCTGACGTCCCTTTAAGATATCTTAGAATTCACTTTAAGGCTTGCTAATGAACTGATGTTGGAGAGCTTAGAAATTGACTGAGTTTGTTTACTACAAACATGATATCTGGCCATGTGTAGATCAGGTATTGTAGTGAGCTAATAATTTATCTGTAAGTGGTAGGATCTTTAAGTAATGTACCATCATATTTTGAATAGTACCTGTTGACTACCATAGGTATTGGAACAGGGCTAGATTTAGACATATCAAAATGTTGAAGAATGTTCTGGATATATCTTTCTTGCTTGAGATAGAGGCTAGTATCATCTCGGAAAGCTTCAATTCCTAAAAAATGATGTAGTTGATCGAGATCTTTGAGTGCACAGATCTTGTTAAGTTATTTGATAAATAGATTTAGAGCTGTAGAGGAGTTGCCTGTGACTATGATGTCATCTACGTATATCAACACAAACATAACAAGTGCGTTTTGTTTATAGAAAAACAAGGACGTGTCACTTTTAGAATGTAAAAATTCCCAGCTCAATAAGGTTGTCCGTAGCTTGTCAAACCAAGCTCGAGGAGCTTGTTTTAAATCATAGAGTGCTTTCCTTAAAAGACAAACATGATTTGGAAATTAAGAGTCAATGAAACCATCTAGTTATTTTATGAGTACTTGTTCTTGTAAATCACCATTTAGAAAGGCATTATTAATGTCCAATTGACATACTTTCCAATTAAATGTAATGGCTATGGTAAGAATAAACTGAGTATAGAAGCTTTAAGAGCTGGACTAAAGGTTTCCTCAAAATTAATGGCTGGGCTTTGTTGAAAACCCTTTGCTACCATACTAGCTTTGTGCTTCTGAAAAGACCCATCTACATTGTATTTCCTTTTGAATACCCATTTGCAGTCAACTAGCTTTGGTTGACCAGTGAAAGGAACTAGTACCCAGGTTTTACTGAGAATTAGGGCATTATATTCATTTTACATTGCTTTCCTCCACTCTTTTGATTTTAGAGCTTCTGTAACACTTCTAGGCTCAGATTTATCATCTTGTACAATTAAAGTCATACCAACATAGGGTACCTTAGCTTTAGAGATTCTAGCCTTACTTTGAGTAACCATATGATGTTGGTTTACTGGAATAGCCTATTGAATTTGTTCTGATAAAGACTCTGATATTTATTGAGTTATTTAATTCTCTGCATGTGACTCATGACTTACAAATTAATTTTCAATGTCTGCATCAGGTGTTGTACTAGAAGAAATGTCATGTGGAGTAGTAGAACTCAAAGTTTCTGGTGAAGTTGGTGAAAAGAATGACACATTACTGTCATGTGGAGGTGCAGACACTTCATGAATGCATTTCATATCTACTAATGCTAGTGTTGGCTTGAAGATGACTTTTGGATGAAATTGCTCTTCAAGTATGACCCTTTTATTAATGAAATCTGTAGCAAAAGGAAATTCTCCTTCATTGAACACAACATGTCTTCAAATATATACCCTGCTAGTAGGACTTAAACACTTATAGCCTTTATAAGCATTACTGTATCCTAGAAATACACATTTGGTAGATCTAAACTCAAGTTTGTGTTGATTATAAGGTTTAAGACAAGGGTAGCAAGCAGAGCCAAAAACTTTGAGTCTATCATAATCTAGATATTTGCCAAGTAAATGAAAATAAGGTGAAACATAACCTAAAATAGGGGTTGGCAATAGGTTGATAAGATTAGTGGCAGTTGTAAAGGCTTCCCACTAGTTGAATAGAGGCATTTTTGCTTAAGCTAGTAGTGAGACCCATTTCTACAATATGTCTATGCTTTCTTTCAGCTCTGCCATTTTGAGTTGAAGTATGTGGGCAAGAGTATCTAAATTGAATTCCTGCATCTTATAGTCCCTTGGTAAAGCTTCTGTATTCGCCTCCCCAGTCACTTTGAATCATTTTAATCTTGCAATCAAACTAATTTTCAACCAATTTCTTAAACTGTAGAAACGTATTAAGGGCTTGATCTTTGGATTTTAATGGATAAATCCAAGAATATCTACTATAGTCATCAACAAATAGGATATAGTATCTAAACCCATTCATAGAAGGTATAGGAGATGGTCCCCATCGATCAGTGTGTATTAGTGCAAGTGGCTTAGTGGCATGTGAGATAGAGATTTTAAAGGGAAATGAATGTGATTTTCCATATTTGTATGGTTCATAAAAACCATCTTCATTCTTAGAAACTTTTAAGTTACAATTAGTAATAATTCTGTTCAGCACCCTAATATTAGGATGTCTAAGTCTACAATGCCATAAAATTCTACTACAATTAAACTTGCTAAATGCTGAATAGTCAGCTTCTTTAACCATAGCAAAAACCAACTTCACTTTACCATCATGATTGTTCTCATTAATGTGAAACATGCCACCTTTACTTGGTTTCCCTTTGAGAATTATCTCCCCTGTCTGCTAATCCTTCACAGAAACACTATGTTTGTTAAACACAACATCAGCATCATTGTCATTTGCCAATTTATAGATACTTAATAGATTCTTTTTAATCTTTGGAGAATAAGGTGCATCCAATAACTTGACTGGTTTATGAGGTACAGTTGGAATTCTAGTAGATCCTATCTTTTCAACACTTAATTTATCACCATTACCAACAACAATATTCATCTTACTAATAGGATTAACAGCATTTTTCAAGACGGGTTACATCATTAGTCATATGACTTGTTGCTCTACTGTCAAGATACCATGCATCATCATTAATGGTTTCAAGTGTAGCCTAATAAGCTACATTCAAATCATGATTAGCACCAAAATTTAAGCTATTAGAGCCACCAGAATTTTGAGTATTTTTGTGTTAAGGCTTAACAAAGCTTCTGTCATAATGATAGAAGCATGTATCCACTTGGTGACCAAATTTTGTCACAAAGTTGACACTGAGGATGGTCAGAATTTTTATAACTATTAGAGCCATGATTTGTTTTGCCCCTACTACAAAAATTTCTAGAACCACAGCCACCACGCCAAGCATGTGATGTAGATGATTCAGCTCTAGCCAAGTTGACTAAATTATTAGACAAAGAGAGATTAGAAATTTGATGAAGTTGATCTAAGCGACTCTCATAAGTTAATAATTTAGCCTGAAATTCAACCCAATTAAGTTCCTCTACTTCACGAGCTAATTGGACTACTATAGGATTATAATCAGCATCAAGTCTAGCAAGAAGTTGTATAATAAGATCAGAAAGTGATACAAAGTTACCAGCTATAGATGACTGTTTTGATAGATTTTTCATTTTGGCTAAGTAATCTGCCATTTTCATTGTCCCTTTCCTTGTGCACTGTAGATCTGCTTTGAGCATCAAGACTCGAGCCTTAGTATGTGCTCCAGCCAGTTGGCGTGCTACCTCCCATATACCATCTTGAGATAGTGGTCATCTGGGAAGAGATATCAAGGTGCATTATATTCAACAACCATCTAAACAAGAGTTGATCTGCAGCTATCCAGTCTTCAAATTCTGGGTTTAATGTTGTCACATTGTTTTCTGTGATAAATTAAGGGGGATATTTTTTTGTGCCATAAAGAAACCCCTCAAGTTTGTGATCCTTAATAATAGGCAGAATGTGTGTCTGCTAGATTAGGAAATTTATGCCATCCAGCTTGATGGCACATGGTTGATTCATGACATTCGAACCTCTAATGTTTTTTGAGAGGTTATTTGTTGAGAGTAGAGAGTTTGAAGCAGAATCAAGAGAGCCATTATTGCTGCGAGAAGCATTTAGGGTTTCCATGATGATTAACCTTGTAAAACCTCTAATACTAAGAACATTAATATGAGAAACTGATTGTATAAAATGGTGGCATGTCTACCTCTCTTCATTTATTATTATTTATAGGTTGGGCACTGAACCCTAGACTAAATGAATCAGAAAAACGCCACGTACATGTATTTACAAAAATAACGCAGGCCCACAACTAAAATAGGTCCAGAACAAATGAACTAATACACGGTTACTGGACCCAAGTATATGCACTGCTATTGGGCTTAATGCATAAGGCCTTTTTTGTCTCAACAAAGGTCCACAAATTCCATAGAATTCGCAATCCACTGCTGGATTCGACCCGTATCGCTTCCTATCTTTTGTTTCTTAATCCCATTTATGTGTTTGCTAGAATCCTGACGGAACAGCTACGGTCATGAAGATGGAAGTGTTGTCCACGGCATTATACGTGATTTCAATCTCATTATCATTCTCCCTGATAGAGATGTTGAAAACATACAACATTTTTGTTTTCATTGACGTCAATCCTACTAATATTTCACCATTGAAGGATCCAACTCACCACAACGGAGCGTTTTCTTTGTACAGAAATAACTGAGCTTTCCCAAAAGTATTAAATCTAGCTGAGTAACTTCCTGTAGCAGGATCAGCATCCTCGGTCTTCCATGACTGCAAGAACCAGTTTTGACCAGTTTTCTTGTTGAAACCCAGTTTGGCATGTGGAAGAGAAGTGTCTGTGGGATGATCAAAGCTTTGCCACAGCACAACTTTGGAATCATTTTGAATCAGAACAAGATTACCTGTATCAGAGAGTTGAGCCATAACTGTTGTATTTGGAACAGTGAAAGAAACATTTGTGGACCAAATGGGGATGTTTTTGGTTGAGCTGTGATGGAGAACGAGATTTCCACTTGGGCTGAGAGAGAGAACTCCAGAAGTGTCGCTAATTGGATTGTCTCTCTTTGCAACCCAAACAACAGTTTGCTTTGGCAAGTTATGGTACCAAATTCCAACGTAACGAGAACTAGATTTTCCAGGAGTAGAGAACCCAAGAGAAAACTTGCTTTCTTTAGAAACAAGAAGCTCACCATCGCTTAGGGGCCTGTCAATGGTTATGGCGTCAGAAGCTGAGCAAAACAAGAAGCTGTAATAAAATGATATAACATAAATAAAAACCATCCTATTTGCTGTCTTCACCATGATCAGAACTGACTGAAATGACGTAGAAATTGAAGCTGCTTCTTGTTAATGTAATATGCATTGACGAATAAGAGGTATTAATGTATCAATATAAGCACAAAATTGTAATAATAAAAGTGTTTACCCCTCAAATTTGCCTTAATTGCCAATTTAGTTCCTAAATTTTAATTTTCATCAATTTAGTTTCTTACGTTTCCCTAAGTTATTGCATTATTTCTTTAGGTTTTAAAACACAAATTTGTAATCAAATTAATTTGATATGTATCAAGTCTAATGATAACTTGATATGTACATATGACTAAATCAGATCAAGTCAGTTTTCTTTTCTCTCATGTCCTTTTTGTTTTTCCCTCACAAGTTTCATGTATTTTCTCTTCTAATGACTTGGCATGTACATCTGTAATTTTTCTTAACCAAATAGTTAAATTTCTTTTCATTAATATGCACGATTGCCAACTCAATATTATATTATCCATGTCAATACATTTTAATGGTGTTAGCTCCCGTTTTAACAATAAGAAACACTTATTTATTTCTATAAAATTTAAGGGGACTAGATTGATATAAGTTAAATTTTACGAGTCAAATGATAATTAAGCAAACTTATAAAAGACTAACAATTTCATCACCCGAACTTCTATCAAGTCATCACTATCACTTGGTCATTGTCGAAGACTCGACAGAAGACTGAGTCAATGAAAGCCTCTTTCATGGCAAAATTATATATATACTTTCGGCCATACATGGGAATGTTATGTGGTTCTCCTAATTTCAACATGAATGGGTGGATAACATTGAATGTATTTTTTCCAGCTATAGCTTGTCTTGCACAGACAACTTCTGTCCAGGTACAGTGCTAAGAAGCATCAAGTTGCTCTCAAGGGTCAAGATGTTGAAATATTAACAATAATTAGTATAAAAGGATAAAAAAACTAATTTTTATAGATAATAATACATAATAAAAACTTAAAATATAAAATGTTGTTAAGTGAAAATAACTTTTAAATTGAATTTATTCATGTTCAAAATAAGTGTTAAAATAAATATATGTTATACAAACATGCAACGATTTTTGCATGTTCCTTAGTTTTTGGGTTGAAGTTTATTTTCATCCTCAAACTATACCCTCAGTTATAAACTCTATTTTTTGGTACATTCTTGCCTTTAAACATTTTAAAACAGATCACCTTTGCTCATGTCGTTAATTGAGGTTAAGTTCAATAGTTAAATAATTTTCTTGACTAAAAATACTCTGATGGCAGCCCACGTACGTGTCAGTCAACTTCCACCACGATCGCTCAAATGAGTCAGACTTTAAAAGGAAAAACAAAAAAAATGCTCTCTCCTAGAATTCTCTTATCACCATGAATCTATCAAAATTCAGAAAAACCAGAAATCCAAAACCAGCAAACACCTACAGCAATTGTAACATATTGAATTTTGGTCTAGCTAGAAGCTCAAGAATGTGCTTGAATTCAGTAGTAAGCTATTAAGTCCAATCAATTAGGAATCTCTAAAGTGACTTGAAAGGATAGAATGATTTTCAAGGGTCAAATCATAAATTAAAAGTCTTTTTAGGATAAAATTGTAATATTTTCATAGACTTTAAAGAAATATCTATAATTGATAAATGAATAAGTTAAAGTTCAGAAAGAGTAGTCCAAGATAGGCTAAAAGAAATAAATAATGCTTAGGAGGATAAAAGAAGTATCTAAAATTAATCTTGAAGAATAATCAATAAAGTTTATAGATTAAACAAAGGTAAAGTTATGTTATTTGACAATTTCATTTCTTACGCCTTAAGCTTCTTAGAGAAGGATTGTAGTTATATCATAAGGATCATAATAGATCCAAAAAGCACTCAATGAGATTATAGTTAGATCCTGAGGTTGCAATTAGATCTTGAGGCTACAATAAACCTAGTAGAAAGTTATTAAATCATAGAGTAAATACGATAGTTCTCTAGGAAGACAATTATAATATCACTTACTTATAATCCACTACCAACCATAATCACCATGAACTACCATAGCAATTAGAAGATGCCTAATTCTAATTATCTTATCAAGGTAGAAGACTCAACTGCAATTGAAAATAGCTAACCATAATAGAAAAGGAAAGGTTTCGGATTGAAAATCTACTATAATAGAGTTTAATTTATATGCTCAAAATCAATATATAATCCCTTACCATGGTAGAAACCTACCATGGTAGAAAGTATTCTATCATGATAGAATAGCTTAAAAAAAATATATATATAATAAACTCTACCATAATATAAAAAAGATAAATCAATCATTTAGAAATTACTTTGGAACAAAAGTTGATAAGACTTTTAAAAGTCAAACTTAATAAATTTGGTATCCCAAGTTTAGAAATACATGTTAAAGTAGTCAATTAAAACACTAAATTGCAATGTATCAAAGTTCAAATGCATTTGGTAACATAGGAAACAATTGAAATTAAGGGTAAAATGTAATTTTACTCAAAATAGGCACGTCTACCACATCTAATAGCATTGAGGTAGTCTGCCGTGGTGAAACACTCACTAGAAAAAAAAAATAACTTTTAACAGTGACTTTTATCAGTAACAAATCAAAGTCACCACTAAAAGTTTATTTTTGACAATGATAATATGTTGTCCCAGAAAGTCACCACCAAAAATATACTTCTGGTGGTGACAATCAAAAGTAGACTTTGGGCGTGACATGTATTTTTATAAAAAATAATTTAAAAATTAAAAATAATTTGTATAATTACTTTTGGTAATAATATTTGTCCCTACTAAAAGTATTTTTAAAAAATTAAATATAATTTAAATTATATAAAATTATCATTTAAACTATTAAAAAATTTCTTATGAATTATTTTAAAATTTTAAAATTAAATAAAATTATTCAAAAGATATCTATGAAATTAAATTTCTTATTTTATATACAAAATCAAAAATAAATTATATATAGGATCCTGAAACAAAAGAATAGTGGTGAAGATGTGTTAGGTTTAATTATTAAATCATTTTTAATTTTGTATTATTCATAATGTTTGTTTGGACATACATGTCTCATATTTTCTAAGAATTATGTTATTAAGCTAGTATTTTAATATGATAAATTAATATCTTGGTGGGTTATTACTTTCAATTACAATGAGGTTAAGTAATACATAATTATTACTTACATACAAATACACAAATGGCATTGGCATGTTAGAGTTATATAAATGTCGCGAGATACAAATGATATTATAGGCTACTTGACATATTGTACACTTGATACTTAATTTGGTATACACATATTGTTTACTTCTTCTGCTAAGCTTTAATGGCTTTCAGACAAGGATTTCATGTGATCCTGCTTAGTGTATTTAGGTTTTCATTATTATAAGAAAGGAAGTTACTAATAAGATTTTTATAACTAGTTATTACTAAAAGGAATATGAAAAATTATTCAAATTCATCTTGCTATGTGGTAGAGAACAGTTAAAGGTTTGCTATATTGATCACATATGATATCCTTGTAATTATTTTGTATTATAAAATTTATTAGTATTTATTAAAAATTCAAAATTATTCAAAATGGCTATTAACAAAATTTATGAGGTTGAAATTAATTTGATATTAAAATATTTTTTTAAGATATTGAAAAATTATAGATAAAATATATTTTTAATAAAGAGGGAGATAAATTTAACCTTTTTTAGAGAAGATAAAACTTTAATCATTTAATTATTAATTTTTTATCAAAATATGGAGAAGAAAAAAGTAAAAGATATTTAGATTAACTAATATAATATATATTTATAAATAAATTAATACTTAATAATTCTCATTTTAAAAAATAAAATTTTAAAATTGTTTACAATGCATAGAAGAATATTATTTAATATTTAAATTTTTTATTTTAAGTTCATTTTTCTAAGAAAAGTATATTTAAGGTAAAACTAATATTTTATTAAAAATATAATTTAAATATTCAAATAAATTAATTATTTGTCATATTAATAATTGAAAATAGAAAATAATATATGAATATCTTTTAATAATGTATTATTTGATATATGTGTATGTAGTTAAATAATATATATATATATATATATTTATTTTGCATATAATAATTGCAAGTGCATTTTAATTCAACTAGCAAAAAAAAAGACACTTAAGGCTTGAAGATGGGAGGTTAAAGGTTCAGACCTTGGCTTTGGTATATTTTACAACAAATATATGACATGGCTCATGTAGTAGTGTGGCATATGAGGTGGCTTGAGAAGGCACACATGTGATGGTGATAAATCATATTTTTCACATCATTTTATTTCCCTTTTATTCTTAGTTTTGACACTTATTTGGGTATTCTGAGCATTATTAGAATTTATTAGACTTAATTTGTAATTTTGAAAATAACTTGTCAATTCCTAATTTTCCGTCTTATTTTTTCCCACTTGTATCATGCATACATATAGTTTAGTCTCATTTTAATTTACTAATTATCTCCTTTGTTATTTTATTTTTCTAACATTTAAATATATTCTTATAAAATTTTTATCATAGTCACATATATCTTTAAACACACACAAAGACTCTCACCATTTTAGAACACTTGCACACGAACTCATTTTTTGTTACTTTTTGGTTTCCAGATATGACTTAAGCATCAATTTAAATTCATGTTCGAGACACGTCACTTTTGGTTTATTTTATTTATATATTTTATATAAAAATTAAAATAATAATTTTATTAAAAATTAAATCTAAACCATTGAAAAGCTTTAATCCAAGAGTGATGGGAGAGAAATGGAGGAAAATGGAGGGAAAGGAAAGAGAGATACTCTCTTCCCTACATCATCATCATCATCATCTTCATCTTTTCCAATTTCAGAATATGTAGAAACCTCACGCTCTCTCTCTGTCTCCATTTTTCAGCAGCTTCTCTCCTCCATTTCTCAACACCCAACTGTCCAAATCAAGATCTGACTTCACCATTGTCTTTCTCACTCGGTCC